CCGGGAAGGAGCTCGCCCCCGCCGGCCGAACTGAGCCAGGCGGAGCAGGCTACGCCAGCTGGTTCGCGCAGCAGAAGATGGAGGCCATGCTGCAAAAACTCAGCGAAGTCACGAGAGCGGGCAACGAGGGCGGCTGGCGACTCTGGGTGGCCGTGCGCCAGGCGCAGGGGCTCAGCCCTTGGCTCCGAGGGCGCGACCGTGAGGAGCTCCTCGCCGACGAGGAGGCGCTCATCAACTTCGCCGTCCCTCTCGCTCGGGTCGTCGGGAGGACGGAGGGGACCAACAAGCAAAAGCTCTTCGCGGTCCGCTACGCGCACCTGGTGGCTGGCTACTCGGACCCCCTGCTCCACAGGGGCCGGCTCTGGAGCACCCTAGCGGGGCTCAAACGCTGGCAAGGACCTGAGACTAAGCGGAAGAAACCAGTCACCCCAGCTATGCTCGAGTGGCTCCGTGGCTTCCTCCAGCAGGAGTGCAAGCTCCCTGATGAGGACGCAGTGGTCATCTGGGCGGCGATCGTGACGGTATTCTTCTTCCTCCTGCGGGCCTCGGAGTACCTCCTCAAGGACGGGCGCTCGTGGTCTTTCGAGCGCGTGCTGCACGGGGAGGACGTAGAGCCTAGGAGGGCCGGCGAGCGCGTGCCCAACTTGCAGGACGCCGACGAGATGGTGATCTACATCAAGGCCAGCAAGACGGACAAGCTCAACGTCGGGACGGTGAGGAACCACTACCGCGCCGGCACGTCGCTCTGCCCTATCGCGGCGATGGAGCGGCTCCAGGCTCACCATCCCCAGCGGATAAAGGGCACCGGAGAACGGCTGCCCATTTTCCGCTGGGCGTCAGGTACTCCGATTCGCAGGGCCGAGGTGCAGCACTTCGTGACCGTCGCGGGGCTGGCCGCCGGGCTCTCCAGGGAGGAAATCGGCAGCCGCTCCTTGAGGATCGGCGGGGCGATTGCGATGTACCACGTGACGGAGGACCTCTCCCGGGTGGGCCGGTTCGGGCGCTGGCAGTCGGACGCGTTCCACGGCTACCTGTGGGAGTCGCGCGAGCCGATGAAGGGCGTCTCCAGCAAGATGGCCAGGGACACCTCATCGCTGACCAACCCGGCGAGAGACAGTGCACCCGCCAGAGCCGGCGCCGGCGCCGAGAGCGCCAGGCGCGAGAGCCCATGACGAGGGGCTGCGGCGGGGCGCCGCCGGTGCAAGTACACCTGGCGTGCGCCCAACCCAAGCCGCCGGCATGACCGCCGAGCGTGCTTTGGGACACTGCAGCTCAGCTACCACCCGCGCCGCCGGCATGCCAGCCGTGCGTCCGCAGGGTATCCTCAGCCTGTGCCTCCAGCACCGGCCAATACCTCCGCGCTGTCATGCGCGTGCGGGCTTGCCCGCTCCGGGCTCCGCCAGCGCCCAGGCTACGGCGGACGTCCTTTGCAATCGCCGATCAGGGGCCATGCTGGGCCCCCGCCTGGCGCGCCGGCTCTCCTCGTTGAGCCTGGTCGTGCCAGGCGCACTGCAGCCAGCACGGGCCGCGACAGCTGCCAGCCCCACAGCCCAGCGCAGCCAGCGGCGCCAGAATTCAAGCGCGCGAGTGCGGTCCCGCACGCCAGCGCTGGCCCGGGGAACCCCCTCCGTCAGGGGCCGGACCCTGCCCGCCCCGGACACCCAGGGGGGGCGGGGAGCCGGGAGAACTGTGCGGCCACAGCGCGCGCTGCGGGCGCCGCGGCGCCGGCATCGGCCAGGCGCCACTCGCGGCATTTTCGGGCCTTGGCCCGAGGCCGGGCTCCGCCGGCAATCAGTGCGCCGGCGTGAGCCCTGGCCTAGCCTTGCGGCGGACAGCCGAGCGCGCCGGCATCAACTGGCTGGCGGCGATCGGCCGGCATGAGGGCCAGCTGGGCCCCACGCGCGCACCTGCGCCCGCGCCCGGCTGTGCGCGCCCCGAGCAGCTAGCGCCACCGGCAAAGGCACTGCCTGCGGCGCAGCTCCAGAGTCTAGACGGTGCCGGCTGCACATGCAGCCTGGCGCCCAGTTTTGACGGCGCCACTTCACGGCGCCCCCGCAGGAATGCTGAAGTGCATGGCCCGCCAGACCAGCGTGCGGCATCGCCGGCAGCAACCTGCCAGCACCGCTGGAACGAATGGCGGCGAGGCCCGCTTTGCGTGGCGGAAGGAGGGGTCCGCCTGGCGCCCAGTTGGGCGCCAGCGGAAGGAGCGTGCGGCCAGCGCAGTGGCAAAAGTGACCGCCATCGCCGGCATCATCATCGTCTTCTGAGGGCCCGCATCTGACCGCTTCGCGGCTTGCACGTCCCGCGGCCTGACAGCAGGCCGCGCTTTCGCTAGCGCCGTACTGTGGGGGCGGGGTCTTAGTTGTTTGACCTAAACGGTTGGGCCCCGCCCTTCCCAGTCGGGTTGGGTTTCCTTTCTCTCCCTGCCCTTGCCTCTGCTGCTCTCTCTCTCTCTCTCTCTCTCTCTCTCCCTTTCTCTCCCGCTCAAGCCTTCGGGGCTCAGAGCCCTCCCAGGGCCCACAGGGGCCTTCTTTTGCCCGCCCACCCTGGGCTTTGCCCCGGTGCCCGACGGCGCCGGCGGCGAGGCCCGCTTTGCGTGGCGGAAGGAGGGGTCCGCCTGGCGCCCAGTTGGGCGCCGGCGGAAGGAGCGTGCGGCCAGCGCAGTGGCAAAAGTGACCGCCATCGCCGGCATCATCATCGTCTTCTGAAGGCCCGCATCTGACCGCTTCGCGGCTTGCGCGTCCCGCGGCCTGCAGCAGGCCGCGCTTTCGCTAGCGCCGTACTGTGGGGGCGGGGTCCAGCCGCTCCGACAGCGGCGGCGCCGACAGCCTCGCCGACGGTTGCGCATCAAGGGGCGTCGACAGCCCCCCCTGCGCCGCCAGCGGCACCGACGGCCTCGCCGAGGGCTGCGCCGCCAGCGGCGACGGCCGCCGCCCCGACGGCAACGCCGACAGCCTCGCCTACAGCGGCGCTGGTGGTATCATCGGCAGCGGCGCTGACGGCGCCCTCAGCCGCGCCAACCGATCCGCCGCCGGCGGCGCCGACGGCGGCGCCGACCGCCGCTCCGACAGCTGCGGCGTTGGCAGCCCGTGGGAGGGTGGCGGCCGTGGAGGAGGAGGAGGAGGAGCAGGCGTCGGAGCAGGGGGAGAGGGGGATGAGGCGCAAGCTGCGAGTTCGCTGGCTGCTGGGCCAGAGGGGGCGGGGGGCCGCGCAGAGGTCAGCCCCAGCTTCCCCCGGCCGCCGGAGGCTGCGAGGCCGCCGGCCGCTGAGCCAGACAGGGCGGGGGACCGCGCCGCGGCCAGCCCTGGCCCTCCCCAGCCCCCAGAGGGCGATGGGGGCGGCTAGGGGCGGACCCGCTAAGGGCGCCGCGCTGGGCTCCCCCTTGGACGATCAGGAGAAGAGGGAGGTGCAGGAGGAGGTGCCGGGGGCACTGCCAGCCGCCGAAGCCCATGGGGCCCCGAGCCGGGGCGTGGCGTAGGCCGGTGTGTGCTTGCACCGGCGCTTGCGTCGACTCCGTCGCCCCCTCCAGCGGGCGCCGACGCCGGCGATCGCGCCCTCACCAGCGCCAGGGCTTACAACGGCGCCCCGCTCAGAGCTTGCCTCGGCGGCGAGGCCGGCAACAGCAGCGGCGCTGCGACTGGGGCGAGCGTCAGACCGTGCGCGGGCTCCAACGCTGGAGCTTATGCCCGCCCTGACGCCGGCGCGTATATTGGGGCACATGTCAGCGTCGGCCACGCCTGCGTCAGCGTTGAGGCCCGCGCCTACCGCGTTGGCGCCGAGGGCCGTGCCTGTGCCGACGCGGGCGTCTCCTTCGGGCACGCCAGCGACGAGGCATGTGCCGGCGTCTGGTCGCACGACGGTTCCCACTTCCGCATCGTGTGCGCCGCCGCCGAGGCCGACGTTACCGGCGTCGCCGACGTCTTCGCCTATTACAGCGCCGACCCGAGCGCCGTCGCCAGCACTTGCGAGCGCGGGCGTGCGACCGGGTCTGCTGCGCGGGGAGAGGTCGCGCCCTGGCCGCGAGCCCCCGAGGAACCCTGGCCCGCCCGGGACCCGCGCTTTCGAGGATGCCCCAGGGGGCAGGACCGCGCCTTCCTGGGTGCGCGCACTCGGTTGGTCTCAGGGCGACCCTCACGACGCACGCTTGGACCCGCTGGGCGGCTGCCTCGCCGAGGTGAAGGCGCACCTGCCGACCCTCGGCGCGCGGAACGCCGGGGTCGCGGGCGACCAGCCGGCCGTGGAAGGTTCCGACGACGACGACGAGGTGCGGGCCTCCAGGTCCCAGGGCTGGGACGGGGGGGGCGCTCTCGTGCGGGGCCCGCCGGGGATGCGTGGCGCGTGCTGCGTGGCGGAGATCCTCGGGAACACCGACGGCGGCGACCTCGTGGGCCCCAGCGCCTGCTCCGACGGCGCCGCTACCGCCGCTTTCTTGGGACCGGAGTGGTCCAGTGGATTGAAAGTGTACGCGGACCCAGACGAGACCTCGCGGCTCAGTATGTGGTTGCGAATTGCGGAATGGTTGCCGGTTCTGTGGGTTTTTGGGAGGTCCAGCGGAGGTAGTACGGGCAGCGTGGGGTGCTTTGAGGCATCGCGGCTCCACTGGCAACTGTTACAACTTTCGTGGGTTCTTGGGAAGGCCGGCGGAGTAGATTGTCCTCCCAACGTGTTCATATGTATGCAGCGTTCATTCATTTTTCGAATAAGTTTTGATTCGTCGCCTCGCGTGGAGCAGGGCCTGGGTTTGTTTCGGGCAATTTAGTTTCCAACTATTCTGTGCTGGGTGCTTCATGTTCATAAAGCCATAGAGCACTGCTACTTGTCTGTCTGCCGCCTTCTCGCTTCCTCTTCGCATCTTCCTGGCCTCCCTTTTTCTCGCAGCTGTCTCTACTTTCGTGAACTCTCTGGGAGGCCCAGGAGGGTGCGGTCCGATGCGGACCCAACAGGAAACTCCTTTTATGAACGTTGCTCCTCCCTGGCTCGCCGTCCGACGGCGCCCCCAGGGAGAAGCCGAAGCAGTGGCCCAGCCCGAACAAGTGCACGGGAGCCGGGCAGTACGAGTATCAGGGCTTCGAGGACTGGACGCCAGAGGAGCGCCGGGCCGCGGTTTCTCCGGAGCTGGGGGTGACAATGGAATGGCGGCGTGAGACGGTGTGTCCTTGCGAGCGCGTCGGTGTCCTATGACAGCCGAGACCAGCGGTTTTCTTTTCCCATGGGTTGCGCCCGGTCGAGATAGTGAAGGGGGCAGAGGAGATGAGAAGAAGAGAGGAAGAGGTGGATGAGAAGCCTCGCCCACCCGCGCCCCACTGAAGGCCCAATACTGTGAGGGCTAAGGTTGTAGTTCTGCGCACGGCGAGGGGGGTGGAGGGAGATGCGGAGCAGGTAGGATTCAATGTTAGCCAACGTGGCCCCCAAACAGTAGATTCTTGCAGTCTATGCTGTGTAATCCATGTGGTGCAATGTATGCGATGCAACCTATGTAATGCAGTCTATGCGGTGCAATCTATGCGGTGCAATTCACTTTGACTGTCTTGAAGCTGTCCTGTCCACTGCTCGTGCAAACAACCCACCCTCCCACCCGCAACTTGGTCGCAAGACCTCTTAAGACCGTGATGGTTAGTATCAAATGGCACTTGGCAACGACACCGACGCCGACGACGACAGCGACAACGACGACGACGCCGCCGACGACGACTACGGTGACACCGACGACGTCCCCAACGACTTCGACGACGACAACGACAACGACGACGACGACGCCGACGACGACGACGACACCGACGACGTCTCCAACGACTTCGACGACGACGACAACGACGACGACGACACCGGCGCCGACGACCACGACGACGCCGACGCCGAGGCCGACGACGACGACGACGACGATGAGGGAGGAGGGTGGACGAGGACGGGAACGACGACGACGACGACGACGAGGTAGGAGGGAGGACGACGACGGGAACGACGACGACGACGACGGCGACGACGACGCTAGCGACGACGATGACGACGACGAGAAGGATTTCGGCATCCGCGCGCGGTGGCCGCGCTCATGTGCCCCGCATGATGTTTCTTACAAGGGATTGTGGCCCTGGCAAGCGCGCGACCGATGTTAACGGAGTTCGACGCGCGCGCAAAAGTTGTTCGCATGACCGATATATAGAAAAACCGTAGGTCTTTCAGGGCTCGGAAAGCGCGCGCGGGTAGACTTTTTTTTGTGCAGATTTGTGTCGAGTAAGCATGGTACGATTCGTGTGACTTCATGAAGCTCGGTCTTGAAATTGTTGAAAACACAGTGTGTTTGGAAGGGTTTCGACATGCGCGCGCGACGGCCGCGCGCATGTGCCCTGCATGGTATTTTTTACAAGGGATTATGGCCCTTGCAGGCGCACGACCGGTGTTGAAGGCGTTTGACGCGCGCGCATACGTTGCTAACATGACAGAACTGTTGAACAACCATTTGTTTTCTTTGGGTTCGGAAAGCGCGCGCGGGTAGACATTTTGTTTTTTTGCAGTTTTTTCCGAGGATGTATGGTACGATTCGTGTGATTTCATGAAGCTCGGTCTTGGAATTTTTGAAAACAGTGTGTTTGGAAAGATTTCGACATGCGCGCGCGGCGGCCGCGCGCATGTGCCCTGCATGGTATTTCCCTACCTAGGCTCTGCCTAGAAGGGTTCTTACCCTCTATGCTTAAAGGGCCGGGCAGTGGTCCTCGCCCCGGGCGGTTCCCCCGGCATCCGCCCCGCGGTTCCCCCTGTCCTCTGGGAGCTTTAGCTTCAGCTTTCTTTAGCATGGCTTTAGCTTAGCTTTTGCTTAGCTTTAGCTTAGCTTTGGCTTAGCTTTAGCTTAGCTTTAGCTTAGCTTTAGCTTAGCTTTAGCTTAGCTTTAGCTTAGCGTTATCTTAGCTTTAGCTTATATTTAGCTTAGCTTTAGCTTAGCTTTAACTTTGATTTAGCTTAGCTTTAGCTTAGCTTCAGCTTAGCTTTAGCTCAGCTTTAGCTTAGCTGTATCATAGCTTTAGCTCTTTAGCTTAGCTTTAGCTTAGCTTTAGCTTAGCTTTAGCTTAGCTTTAGCTTAGCTTTAGCTTAGCTTTAGCTTAGCTTTAGCTTAGCTTTAGCTTAGCTTTAGCTTAGCTTTAGCTTAGCTTTAGCTTAGCTTTAGCTCAGCTTTAGCTCAGCTTTAGCTCAGCTTTAGCTTAGCTTTAGCTTAGCTTTAGCTTAGCTTTAGCTTAGGTTTAGCTTAGCTTTAGCTTAGGTTTAGCTTAGCTTTAGCTTAGCTTAACCCTAGCTTTAGCTTAGCTTTAGCTTAGCTTTACCTCAGCTTTAGCTTAGCTTTAGCTTAGCTTTAGCTTGGCTTTACTGTTACTATTAATGCTGCTGTCCTAGGGGTTCCAACTCCTAGGTAGGGTCGCACAGGGATAATTGTAAGGAGGGATTGTGGCCCTGGCAGGCGCGCGACCGTTGTTGAATGAGATCGACGTGCGCGCAAAAGTTGTGCAAGAAGCCCGATTTGACAGGAATGTTGAAGAACCATTGGTTTCGAAGGATTTGACAAGAGCGCGCGGGCAGATTTTTCAGAATTTTTGGGTGAACAAGTAATATGTTTGCATCGGTTTTCTTGAAGCGGGATGTTGAAATTGTTGAAAACACAATGTGTGTTGGAAGGATTTGGACATGCGTGCGCAGCAGCCGTGCGCGTGTGCCCCGCATGGTAGTATATTGGGCTGGCCTCCGGCCAGTGCCGATCCAGCTTGCCAGGGCGTGTATCCTATGTGTCGGCAGTACTTCGGCAAACGTCCCAAGCGCGAGCTGTGCCGCCCTTAGGGCATCGGGGCATGCTTCTACCAGTCCACCCTGGGGTGGTGGGTCGTCCTGGGCTCGTTGCAGTATCGCGTCTCGCATGCGGGGGCATTGTGCGGGCCTGGCTGGTCCTGGTCGTGGGGTGGGGGCCGCGTGCCTTGTTTGGGTCGCCCGTGGGGGATATGGGGCGGCTAGCCCCAAGGACTCTGTGTGGGCATGTAGTTGGTCGTTTCTCCCGCGGCCTGGACCACCGCGTGCCCGCCAGAGGATATTGCCATGATGATGTATTCGCCTGGTTCAATGCGGGCGTCGACGTCGCGTGTCCCGCCCTGTTGCCCTTGTGCGAGCACCGGGGGGGGGGTGCTGTGGGGGCGATCGCGCGCATCGGGCCGATGTGATCGTCGACCCAGTCTGTGGTGAGGGTGGGAGGCCCGATCCTTGGGAGCATGTCTGCGTGGGCCGCGTCTGGGTCGGTGGCGGGGGCGGGCCAGGGTCTGATTAGGAGGCGGCGCGCACCATGGTCTACTGTCGTGCCCATTAGTGGCAGGTGTCGGTGGGCGGGCAGCCAGGGTTCCGGGTGCAGGTGCCGTATTTCGGTCCCTCCAACTTGCACACCGTGGAGGTCCATTCTGGCAGTGGTGACAACTTGTGGGTGCTCCGCCGCCCGCCTGGCAGCAGCCGCGCCCGTTCGGGCTGCTTCTCTCACGTGGTCGTCTAGTGCACTGTCAGTGCCAGGGGTGCGCCTCGCTGGCTCCCTGGCGTGGGTAGCCGGGAAGATGCGGACGTGTTGTCCGTTTAGGGTTGGGAGGCCGACTGCCCCGTAGGCCGCCTCCATGGTCTGCTCAGCACCCTCACGAAGTACCACCTGGGCCATATCCCGATAGGCATCGATGTCGGGATGCCTGGCGTGTGCGTGTGCAACGGTCCATACGGCACTGTCCCCAAGGGTTTCTTGGACCGCGTGTCGGACCGTGTCCAGATAAACTTGGCCTTCTGTTGCGACGCTCCAGCGTAGGTGCGATCATGTTTCAGGGTCCACAGTGCGCACCAGGGATGGGCCTCCTGTCTAGGGATCAGCCATGGTGATGCGTCGGGGGGAGAGCGCGCTCGGTTGACCGTTACTGGCTAGCGCCGTGGGTATTTGTGAACGGATATATCTAATGATGGGCGCCGCCGCGTGTTCAGGTGTGTTGATCAGCATGGTCCCGGATGCCGTGATGCCCACCCTGTGTCCCAGGGCCGCTGCGGCCTGCGCGGCGATAGGGTAGGCGAGACAGGGGCTGCCCCGCCGCAGTGTGATATGGACGACGTCTGCGGTCTCATGCTGTCTCCATATTGCGGTGGGGATGTCGGTGGGTGCCAGTTGCTGGGCCGCCGCCTGTGCGCTCATGATGACGCGGTTGACGTCGGTCGGCCTGGAGTTTTTCATGCGGATTTTGATGGCGTGATGGATCAGCGGCTCTATCCCTTGCTGAAGGAGCTCTGGGTTGCGCCCGAGTTGCGGGATGCTGGTGGCCCATTCAAGTTGGTGTCCATGCGACTCTAAGTCCCGTTGGGTGCGCGTTATGAGCGCGACGATGTGCTTGTTGCCGGAGTCAGGGGTGAGCATGTGGAGGGTGTCCCTTAGGTCGGCATTGCCGTTTCCCCAGCGCGCCACTACACTGGTGGCGTGCTGTAAGCGCGTGGGCCTGGCCAGGAAGTTGATCTGCATGGCAAGAATCTGTATGGGGCCGCGGTGCTCTGCCAGCGGTCGCCCGACTGGTGCCAGATGGTTGGCTCTGCGGAGTGCCTGGTGTCCCCAGAGCGTGTGTGCGGCAGCCGTCATCCCGATCGGGTCTGGGCCTCCTGGTGTAGTAACCCGCTCGTGTCCGAGGACAACCGAGTGACAGGGGACAGCCTCGAGCTGGATAAGGCCGACCAGGGCGTCCACTTGAGTGGCGTTGGTGTCGACCGCCATGATAACAGGAGGCGGGGGTGGGATCTGTGCCGCTGGACCCTCGTTAGCTCTTCTTGAGTGGTCCAGGATCTCTTTCACTTTGTCGTGTCCGGCCTCGTTGGGGAAAGTGAATGTAGCTGCTGTGTTGTCGATGGGCCTGATTCCGACCAGCGCCCGCGGACATGCCACGATGGTTGCTTGTGACTCTCGAGTCGCTGCTGCGACTATGGACGTGGGCGTGTAGGCTGGTCCTCTCGTGCGTCCTCGGCTAACTGTGTTAACTCTGACTGCCACGTTGCACCGCCTCTCGTGGGTGACCAGGGGTCGCTGCTCCAGTCGCGCCCTTTCGCTGGGG